GTAAGTCGGAGAAGATATGATGTTTAACTTCCCAAAGAGTTAGGTGGGAAAGAGGAAGAATTATACTAATATGGACTGGAAAAAAAAAAAAAAAAAAGCCTTGGTGATGCTAAAGACCAACAGAATCATCCTGGATCTAAATCCAAGGACCCCAGGCAGCAAGATTAATACAGGTAGGGCTTCATTATTTTGTTTACTGATGCATAAACATCTGCTAAGTGAATATTTATTTTATAGAGAAAAAACTCGCAAAGCCTGTCCTTATGCAATCAGTAAGTTACCTCTAATATTTGGCCCTCAAGAGTTGGATTGTAAACCCAGAATAAAACCCCTGAGAATGACTGTGCTTATGTTATGAAAAGTCTGAGAGGATTAATTTCAGGGACCAGAAAACTCAACAGACTGCTGAAGCTTCCAAAATGCTTTTCTTTGTAACACCTGTATAACAGAAATATGTGCAGAGATGTTGTAATTGGGAGCAGTGGCTTCTTATAAAGAAAAATTTCAGGGTACATAAAGGCACTGTGTGACACAAGATACCAAGGAGATTGCAGGATGGAAAACCTACTAGGGCCATGTCCATACACTGTGAGAGAGACAGAGAAATAAACTGTTCCTCTCCTTCACCTCTTTCCAAAAGTACTTATATTACATAAAATTTACACTGGTTTTTAAAGTCACTCTTCTTGGACTGACTACATAAGAAGATATGTGTGGTCACATAAGGGGAGAAGAGGTAGGTCGATGGATGATGTGGAGGGTGTGGTGCTGTGAGTAAAATGAGTAACAAGATGTGTGACTTGAGAGAGTTTTACCTGAGTCTGAGAAATCTAAAAAGCAATGCATTATAATTTTGCCTGTTATACTGTGTTGGTAAATTATTCAATAGACATGCTGAATTTTATTAATATTTTGTAGCATTTGCATGATTTTAGCATTCTTTTGATGTCTTTATGTCCTATAAGTGATCAGTAAAGACGACCAATGAACCTAACTCCTTAATAAAGCTTTTCCACGTTTCAAAACACATCTACTGTCCCATAAACTTTTATTATTTCTTCCTTTTTATGTAGAATAACACTGGTTATACATTATGAAAATAGCTTTCTTGTTACCATTTTAGTTGCATTGTTTACCTTGAACCAAGAATTAAAATAATTTTTCTGCTAAGTTAATACTGTCCATTACCAGTAGAACCAGGAGTTCTTCCTGCATTAGGTAGAGTGATCTGAACTTCACCACATCCTCTGACCAGGTTTTTCATTATAGTCTACATTCTAATATTCTGTACTTAACCCATAAAGGCATTTCCTATATAATTTTCTATATAATGTTCTCTTTCTGCTTCTTACCAAGAGTGGAATGATCAAAGGCATAATAAATTAATAATAATTCTGGTACAAGTGATATTCAGTTTGAGAGATTGGATGCAGCTGACATCTTAGCACACAAAATTAGCTATTGTCTGTAACATTTTATTCTTTCTGGATCCAAAATATATTTCATTGATTTTCAAGGGAGAAATTGTGCTCAAAAAGCATTTTTGTTATGAACCCAAAGGGAGAAAAGAATAAGACCTTTTTTTTTTTTTTTTTTTTGGTATGCGTGAGGAGAAGAAGATGGGTAAAATTTAGGCATTAAAAAACAATAATTATGTGGTTAAGTGACAGCACAAAATCCATTAAAACATACTGTAAAAATTTCAAGACCATTCCAGGGAAATTCTAAACTGCAATTACGATTTAATTTTTGCAATGTTGAAAGGAGTTAGAACTGATTTTTAAATCAGGCAAATCATCAGGGGAAAAAGTGATCAGTGGTGCTTAGAGAAGGTGCAGGAGTCTTGCCTATGATGTGAGGTTATACCATGAGAGGGAGCCACAGATGAGCTGTTCCCAAACCTCAGCCCAGTTAAGGGTGTGCCTGGGGGTCAGTGACATTGAGGTTCCTTGCTGCCTGCTGGGGAACACAGTCACCCTCCCACTAATTTATCTGCAAATGCACTCTGCATGTTTTGAACCTGTACTCCTTGACCTGTCCTGCACTACCATGTGCTTGCTTTGCTCACCATGACGAAACAGGCCCAGCAAACTTACCAAGCTGAGGTGTGGTGACTCGGTGCCCCACAGCCGACCGCTGGACCACTGACCCAGCAGAATTAGCTATAGCTGCAAGGCGTGATAAGTGTTGAGGTGTGGGACCTTTTTTCAGGTGAGGCTCCACAGGTATGGGAGCAAGAGGGAGATTTCCCTCCCCACCCCCTGTCCTAGCAAAGGACGGCAGGATGAGGCAGATGCTCACCACCTACACCCCTGGCTCTGAGAAACCCTCCAGAGAACCTGCTGGGCCCAGCACACACTGAGTGCCTGGGGAAAACCCGTGAAAGAATTGTGCACCAGTCCTCAGAGAAAAAGGGTAGACAGATATCTTGTGAGGGTAGGTCACTCTCAGACCTGTCCTGCCTTGCACAGTTCAGGAGATGAGGCACTGTGGAGAAAGAGGAGGAAATGGCAGCAGGGTTTGGGATAGGAATGGCATGCGACACACTAACTGAGGAAGTCTGGTGTAATGAAATATCTTCAACTCTGATTTCTCCCTTCAGAACAGTATCACTTGCATATACCTATGAAGCAATTCTGCTTTGCAGCCATTTACTGGACTCTCCAGTCCAGTTTCTGATGGTTGCCAGAGAAGTAATTTTTTCCAGTTAGAGAAAAATCCACTTTCAAAATCATGTAACAGAAATTCATTAAGGCTGATTTCCTAGAGCGGCTGTCAGCTTCCAAACTCCATATTCACTTCTGTTGCTTTCTCTGCATAAATATACGGAGATAAAAATAGTGCATATTGAATTAGGCAGGGATTTCTTCACCAGTGACATTATGATCAGGAACATATGTGATGTAGATGCACCGTAAGATGACCAGCTGTGCTCTCAGTCTGTTCAGTCTGTTAAGAGGAGTAAACCTTCAGCTTTAGGCATTCTTGGGTACAGATTGTGATGTAATAAGATATGTGGAAGAAAATGAAATATGAAATTGGATAATGTATTTAATTTACTGTGCTAATAGGCAACAGTCTACTTATGATGTTGCCAAACAAACATATTTAATATTTTGCTATGGTGAGTTATTCTGGTGGTAAAATAGTTTTCAGAGAACAGGAGGGGAAGCAAAAATGTAGAAGTCAAAGCCTACTGCTCTTTATCACTTTTAAGGCAACTAAATAATTAGAAATGTGTCAGAACAGACAAACGTTTTTATTTTTTCATAAGAAGGCAGTTTCCCCCCTTTCTTTATCTCAAGCAGATTACTGTCATCACCATTCTTGCCAACAAGCAGATTCATTGGAATATTTTTCAAAAATGAACACAAATATTGGAAGAAAACAGGTGGAATGAATTAATTATAAGCATATGGATGTAATGTAACGATTTCTGCAGTGTACTGTTCAAACATATAAGGGTCTGGAATTAAAACACACTTGAGGAATAAAGCTGCTTTAAGAAATTATCAATTACATGGATATAAATGTGTGTGGAGCCAGACTTAGATCCAGACTGAATACCCTGCCACACATACATTTCTGGGAGAGTTTTTAGCTGTAAGGCATAGCAATGGTGTGGTTTACACTGTTTTCCCAGTTGTGTTAGCACAAACGAACTCTCTGACAAACAAACACAGCAGGCAGGGATGGGGAGCATTGGCGGAAAAGTGGTGCTGCTTAGGCCAGCTTCACACAGTACATCCTACAGCTGAGCAATGTGTGCTGCAATCCAGGCTACAAGTCCTTTGCTGGTAGAGGCAACTGAAGGTGTTCCTGGCTTGCACTGATCTCTGATCAGTTCTCAGTCATCCCTACTGGTGCAAGTCATTATTCCGTCTTTCATTAGAATAGATCTCTGGGATAGAATGTTGACATACTCTAAATTATACAAAGGTAGCCAGAAAACAATCTTAAACAAAGGAAAAAAAAAAGGAAATAAAAAGATCCCAGATCCATACAGTGAGATCAACTTGAGGCAAGAAGCAGCAGAAGTGTGGGCTGGCACTCCTGTATTGCCACCAGAAACAGTTCAATAGCATAGAGCCTGGTGCAGCACTGGCTGCCCTGCTTTGGGCTAGGATAATATAGTTTTATATCAATCACACTTTTTCACATGGGGATTCCTGAGCATTTTTTTGATAGTCAATACAAAATGTAGTCAAACTACAAATATAATAAATATTCCAATTGTTATTCATTATATTAGGTTTTATTTAATCAAGAAGAAATGAGATGTGGCTTTTTTGAACATGGCTGTGAAGTAGAGGAGATCAGAAATAAATAAAAAAAAATAGTAGATTTTTGCAATCCAAACTAAATTCAGATAGGGATTTAAGCCATTATTTTGTTAAAAAAAGTTTGCTTGTCTTTTCAGTTCATATTTATTATTATCTAAAAGCTCCATTTTGAAAACTTACCGTGAGAACAGCACTTTGAAAAATTAAATCCTCTTCTTAAAGGATTGGAATTTATCTTCACAAGGGAAGTAATTTCTGTAAGTCTTGCTTTTAAAATCAGTCTTTACATTCATTTACATTTTTTTAAATCTCAGGACCTTCAGAATGGTCCAGTAGTTGGAGCCCAATTGTTTTCCCTCCTCTGGGGCCCCAAATTAATAGATCCTTTAAGACCTGCTTGCAAACAAGCAGTTATTTCACTAACAGACTTGTAAAATAAGTCTATTGAAACTTTTATTCAACATTCCTGCAGCCTCATAGTTGCCATGGGAAGACAAGAAGTAAATATAATGTTATAAATCAATGCTAAATACTTTTGTTCTTGGCAAAAATTTAATGTACAAATTATCACAATAATTTAGAGCAAAAAGACCAAAAAAACCCCAAACCCAAACCCAGAAGGCGGTTTTTGTGCAATCCAGCAGATGGCGCTATGATGCAATAAACTGATTCAAGAGCCCAAGAAATACACTGTATGTGAGCATTTTTTTCCTTTACCTGATGCTGCTGCTTTTTTGATGGCTGGATTGGCTGCAGGAGCTTTTATTGGCTCTTAAAAACAAACAAACAAGCAAACAAACAAAACACAAACAAACAAACAAGCAACAAATTAAAACAATTATTACAAAGTATAATATCTTTTAAAAAATAGGGAAATCTCAGGAAAGGCTTCCAGTGAGGTAAAACTTGTAGAAATTTTTTCACTGTAGAATTAAACAAAGAGATTACCCAAAGGGAGGGGAGCTGAGTTGTCTTCAATAAACTCAAAGGCAACAATAAAACAACCTTACTAGCTGAAGGGTTAATAAACTCTGGCTGTTAGGCACTGAATCACTTATTTTAGCTTTTTCTGCCCAGTGATTCAATATGTATTGGCAAAGCAGAGGAAAGGAGGTATGTAGGGGTTCCAGAGTGACCTTACCACTCAGGAAGCATCTATGTGCTGGGAGCCTCTGCGTTTGATCTTGCAGCTATGAGAGCAGAATGTCCTGAACCAGCCTATATCAGATGTTGAGGATTCATTCCTGTGAATTCAGCAGTGGTGCTTCAGGGGATCTCACAGCCATTCAGTGCCATCCTTTCCCCTAATCTGAATCTCTCCCTGATTAGAAAAGGTGATATTGGGCTACTTCTGCAAAGTACATCCACAGACTTGGTTACACCAGGAATCTCTCTGCATCCTGAGGAACATTAGGAGCACTAGGAGCATTAGGAAAAGATCTCCATGTTTGATCCTGCACTTGAAAAAGCAACAACTTTATTCTCCTAGCACAGAAACAGGCTCTCCCAATCTAATCCTGTTCCTGGTCTTTTCAGTGCACTTGCACTATGCTATAGTGCACCTGCACTATATCTCTTTGCTGGTAGAACATGTCCTTGCAGAATGGAGGTTCACATGAAAGGTATGTGCATCCCCAAATGGTTTTGGGGAATCTCAACCCTAAAGAGAAGAATCCAAGTAGTTTACTAGATTTATTTACTCTTTACTAGTGTTTAGTTAATTGCTTTTATTCTCAGGAACTGCCAAAACAGACTGTACTTAAACTATAATAATTCAATAAATTCTTAATGCACCGTCATAAAGGATTTTGTGTATCAACTAGAAGGTCCTATAAATTCAAATTCACATTTTCACATTTTGAGAGGAAATAGCTAATCATTTTAATCACAAACTAAATTACAGATTGACAAAGAAGTGTTAGTTAATCCTTCACATCTGCCACTGTGTTATTACAAAGAAAAAGACCATGGCTAAATCAGGAATGTAATTTTGAGTTCTTCCCTCCAGTCTTTTGAGAAGTTCATAAAAGATGCATAGACTGTCTCGTGAAACAGAGTGAAAACAAAATAAACTTCGTGTGCGTGGGATTGTTTTGTTTCCATCCATTTAAAACCCCACAGTAGATAATTATATCCTAACTTAGTTATTATCACAGCATTGTAATTACTTGGGGTGGTCACATTCTCCAGGGAAATATGTGGAAGACCTTGAAGAAGAATTTACTTAGTAACACTTTCCTAAGTGCCAATTCTGGCAGAAGGAAGAGATCCAACTTGCATGTTCTACAAGTGTCAAGATGGATTTTATACAAAATTACAGGACTCTTGCAAGTACCTTCTGATCTCTAAGCTAGAGCATGGTGGATAGTGGGACTTTTTTTTGCTTTTTATTAACATCCATGAAAAGAAACTAAGTTAGGATTCTTTTTGTTCTACAAAGATTTTTCTTTTCATTAAAATATTTAATTTTTGAGCAACTGAAATAATTATGAGTGGGAAAAAATAAAATTAAGGGTTTGTTTTGTCAGAAATTTCTGTAATTTATTTAATTTTAAAATAAATTTTCAGTAGCATTGAAACAAAACTAACCAACTTTCTTTTGCAAGCATATGCTTTTCAGTTTGTAATTCACAAATTACTTAAGTGCTAATGACTCTACGTATTTATGAACTAGTTTCAGCTGCAAATTTCATGATGGAGCTAGGAAGTTTTGCTGTGACAGCTGCTGGGGAATTCTTCCATTAAAAGCTTCATAAAATGGTTTGGCTTGGAAGGCACATCTATTGGGCTTTAAAAGACCACCACGTTTCAGCCCTCTTGCCGCTGGCAGAGACACCTTCCATTAGACCAAATTGCTCCAAGCCCCATCCAACCTGGCCTCAAGCATTTCTAGGGATGGGACATCTACAGTCCCTCTGGGCAACCTGTTCCAGTGCTTCACAGCAAGATACAACAGAGATACACAGAAGAGAGTTTGTTCCTAATGTCGAATCAAAACCCTCCCTACTTCAATATAAAGTCAATAGTCCTTGTCCCTTCACTGCATACCTTTGTGAAAAGTCCCTCTCCAGCTCTCCTATAGGCTGCCTTTGGGGGCTCAAATTAATAGATCTTTTATGATCTACTTGCAAACAGGTAGTTATTTCACTAACAGACCATTACTTGTAAAATAATCTATTGAAACTTTTATTCAATATTCCTGAAAAAATTGAGTAAGAAGTAAATGTATAAGCTTTTCTAGATTGCGAAAAGAAATATTTTAATAAATTGCTGCAAATCAGAGGATGGCAGGGGATTAATCTGCCATACATGTCAGGAAAGATCATACATGGAAAGTCAGTGCATTCTTTAATCATGAATTTGAATGAGATTTTGAAGCCCCACAGTTTTCCTAATTTTTCCTATATACCATACTTTCAGAACAGAGAGCTGAGCAGATGAAGTCTTACCAGAGAAACTGTCTTACTATCCCTACTGTGCTAAGGTATTGCTGCTTGCAAATTTATAGAAAAGGAAGATGTAAATTAACGATACCACACTCTCAGAGCATTCTGTGGCTGGTTTTTCAGAACAGTCCAACTCCCATCTCTCTTCAGAAGTCTCTCAAAAGTCTGTGTTGGAATCAGAAGTAACTAGATAGGCAGAACCTTGTGCATTTGTGAAGATAAATTTGGTGGTCTTCAGTATGTTGAACTCTCAGCCTTCTCAGCTCATTTATGAAAATTGCTGCCACTGAGAGCATTTTTTGCTGACACTTCAATTTGACATTTCCTTTCCTAGGGAACTTTTGTTTTTTAAGACAGTGATAGGGAAGAGGGGAAGGCAAAACTGTCAGTCATGGAGAGGAGTGTGGAATTAAAAGTAGGATAAGAATGGATTTAGAAAGTAAGAGGCAGCTGAAGTTTAAACATATCAGTTTTCAATTATAAATGGTGTAACTGCTTTCTTTGTATTTTCAACAATTCATTAACTATTATTTTTGGATTATTGAAATGTACTCTTTGAAACTGCATGACATATAAAAGAGACAGTAGTTTCTTACTTTTGAGTTCTTTGGACACAGCAGCTTCTTTTTTATCTGTAAGATAAACAAAAAAAGAAAACAAACAGAAACACATATGCATGAAACATGGAAAAGATATAGATAGAAAACTGCAGCATGTACTTTAGAAGTGAAACAGCTTATTTTCTGCAAATAGCATTTGAATGATACAATGACTCAATTCAGTTCTGTTTCTTTCATGGTACAGTTACACTAATTTAACCCTACCTGTAAATACAGCAAAACCTGTGTAAGCATGAAAAATTTTGTTTATTTTCTGTATAGTAATCCCTGAGATCTGACATGTGGTTGAGTGATTTACATGTACTGGTTGAGCTATAGTTACTCACCATGTGCACATTGTTAAGATGCATAAATGCAAGGGAAGATGTACTAGGAGCCTAAGTATAGAGATGTAATGAAAGGCACTCTCTTCTTACAGATCTTACAATCATACAACTGAGACCTAGCTTAGAAGGCTTCCCACCTAACACCTTTGGAACCTGGAGAAACTCAACCAGTCCTACATATGGACCATGTAAAAGCAGGCAAAATCTGTCCCTGGTTGATTTAAATAAAATTTAAATGACTTAGCTATATCGAAATGCATCATGGCCAGGAAGTTTACCAGAATGACTTAACTAAGCTGTTCAGTCTCTCTTCACTTTCAGTAGCATTTTTGTGCCAATTTTTGTAGGACTTCTTTTCCGGTGGCTGAGAGGTTTGGAATCCTTACTAAGAAGATATAAGTGGGCAGAAATATTCAGCGATAGCTTTTCCACTATAATTTTTTCTACCTCAGGGCTTTTAAATGGGTACAAAAATCATCCATTTTTAGAAAAATACTTGGAGTCTCACATACCTTTTTCACTAGTTTCACTCTTACAACTAAGAAATGGTCCATGAAGATCCTGTGAGACAGCAGCAAAGGGGTGCATAGAGCAGTGGTAGAAGTTACTCCCCTGGGTGGCTATGAGAAAATTAACATCCTCTCTAATAATCTATAGTGAGTCTGGGATATAGGTAGGACAATGCTTATGCCCACAGCATATATGAAGGACAAATGAATTGTGCTCTTAAATATTAACATAAGAAATACTTTCAGGGTAGAAACTGCCAAATTAGTTTGCCTGCAAACCCAAGACTATCCCATTACTGCTGAAAATACGAAACTGTTTCAGTTTCTGTTGCTTCCTAAATTGCTGTGAAGAAGTTGATAAGAGATAAGGTAAAGCAAATGACTGCCAAGTAGTCTAATAAAAGATCTTGAAAAATTTGAAGGAAAATACATTTCTACTTAGGCGAGATACTGCTCTGAACTGAAATGTTTCTAGGTTAATCCTCTACTTTCCCTAACTCTCTGTGAAAGCATGTTTTGCAGGCATAACTTCAAAGTATGATAATTACCACATTTAGATGAAATTAATCATGAGTCAGCTTTTAGCCATGTTATCTGGCTAAGGAGCCTATTGAAGCCTTCAAGAAGTGCCTATTAGTTGCCAGATATGGAAATTTTGAGAGGTGTATGTTGCAGTGATATGAATCATTTATCAAAATAATCTTCTATTGCTGGAGGTTATAAAAAATAAATAAATTGACAACATCATTTACAATAACAGACTGGATCTAAATAAAGCCCTCAGGTTCTTTATTTCCTTTTTTCATATAAGTTATCATTTATTAGGACAACATACTTCCATATATTTTAAAACCATAATTTATTTTCAAAGAATCATTGTGTTTTCCCATCCTCTGAAATACATAGCATACAGTAAATTCTGAGTAAAAAGCTGGACAATTTTTCCCAGTAAGAAAATCTTATAATTTGGGGGGTTTGGTGTATTTTTGTTTTGTTTTTAAAGTGCAGAAAAATTACCAAAAACTTATTCCAATAGTACATATTCATATGAAAATGTAAATGTTCTTACTCTTACAACATTCTTTTCAAACCAAGGTGCCTAACATTTGATTTCTAAAGCTATATTTAACCAAATAGGCTGCAATGATTTACAGAAAATTGTGCAGAGGAAGTTTTGTAGGATCTTGAATGGTAGAGGTTCCTTTGAAGGTATATAGTATTTACATCTATGCACCTCGTACTTGAATGAAATAAATGACCTAGTTGCAAAGAAATGAACAATTGGTAGATCTTACAGAAGGAGGGAAAACTGATTAGGACTTCTGAAGTTCCTAAATGTGATTATCTGTTATAAAGTAACAATGTCACATAACTGAACAACTCAAAGGAAAACAGTACCAAAAATGAATAGAGCAGTGAGTTAATTTGTGCAATTTAAGACAATGAGCATTTTGTCTCATTCATTTTCGCTTTGCACAGGTTAAGGGTTTAACTTTTAAACTATGGGGGTGTGTTTGGGAAACGTAGCTTATATTACATTACGTTTTAATATTTATTATGTCTTTTTCTTAAAAACAACAATAAGCTCACTGGCCTCTTGGTGGGTCTGATTTTTCATGTTAGTTAAGGAGACCATTTTCCAAAACAAATTAACTTTTATTCAAGCACTAGTATTGGACAACCTATGAACATTATCATAAACACATCAACCTAGAAATACCAATCAACTTAGAAAGTGTAATCTGCAGACCTCTAGGTAATTTCCTCTTTAAAACTTTACATCTGAAGCCTAGTACAGAACAGGCAGATGCATGACATGAGAAGGACTATTATACTTCTCAGAAGCTATGTAATTTCATTAGGACCTGTATAACATCTGAACATCAGTCTAAGTGCCCTAGCGGCCTTGACCAATAGTACAGTCAAAAGCACTGTGACTGTCCTTGGTATTGGTGGCAGAACTATTTGATATCCAGCAACAAGGTGTGCATTTTATATTCAGGAAAAGCCACATTTCTACAACAATGTAAAGCAATAAAAACCCCTAGACCTTTAGTAGACTTACAATAGGAGACAAGACTTCAAAATATGATGTTTTTGATAATTTGGTGCCCAATCTGAAGCAGTCATTTTTTCAGAAGTTTTTGAGGACATGTTTGATATTCAGGTCTTAAAGGGCTTATGTAAATCACAAATATATTGTGCAGTCCAAAATTTTAGGTACCTCTTGGAACCCTAGCCATTACTTTTTCTTGAAAGAACATACAACAGACTTTAAAAGGCCAAGCACCCTAGCTGATAAAATAATTTGTCAGCTGTGGAGCACTCTGAAGCACCCTTTTCTTTTTACAGTTATTCTATAGAGGTGTTTGAAGACAGTTGTATTCTGGTCTATATTCTTAAAAAGCAACCATGTTTGTACAAGCTCTACTCTTCTCAGGTGAATGAACAGGTTTTTCTTTTATTGACTCTTGCGAAGACTAAACTACAGCAATACTTAAAAAAATTACTTTCATAAAACCCACCAAATATTTAAACAAATATGATCTGACTTTGTTCTTATCTGTACAGGCTAAAAGGATCAATTTTGAATTCAAACTAAGAATGAGCATTTGGCAGGCAGCACTGATGTATCTCAGCAGAACAGCAAAGCAGTATTTTATTTTTTTACGTCTTTTTAGCACATAGCTCAATCTTTTCCTCAGGCCTTGCTCAAAATTCTTTTGAAGTAAACTAGCAGTACACAGTAACTGCAAGTGATATCTAAACTACACATGGGACAAGAAAAAAAATCTCTTCAAGCTTATATAGTGCCTTTCATGCCAGTGAGTCCCTAGGAGGTTGGTAATAAGCTATTAGACAAGAATGCCCCAGTACTCTGGTAGAGAGTGTGGTTATTTGAGTTTAAACAAACTTCCCAAATGGAATATTTCAAACACTGCTCTGAAGTGAATTCCAGATCTGGGGTTCACAAAACTTTTACACCCTTTTTAGCAACAGATTTGTAATACAGTGTACATTGTACATTTCATGACAGGAGATCTTCAGCAGCTCCATACAACCTATATTTTTAATATCTAAAAGGAAGTTATGGGAAATAAATGGGTCTCAAATTGCACTTTCTTGACATGCTTCTCTGTGCCTTTTCCTTCTAAAAATCTCTCAAACACATATAAGGGTATTAAAAATTAAATTAATAGTATTATTCAGATAAGCGAATATTTCAGAGACAGTATATTGATAACTCAGATAACGATACACTGTTTAAAATAGCTAGCTAAAACCCCTCTTACTATTGGAAACATTATTGTTTATGTTGTATCTAAACCAACCTTTTTGTTTGGAAGCTTCCTAAAGAACATGACAGTAATAACAAATTTACAAACAGAAATTCATTTCAACATCAGTGGGAAATCACAGTGTCCAAATTGAATGGTAGCCGATATCCTGATCAAACATAGTGTAACTCAACAGATTCCTCAATGGATGATCTGGACTAAGTACAGACACCATGGAGAATTACTAGATGCCTCTGAAAGACATGGTTCACTGAATCAAAAACTAAAGAGAAATTTAAAATATTAAGCAGTTACTAAAGGAAAAATGTTCACCTAAGCCTCAGCTAACACTTTTTACTTTCTCTATTTTTAGTTGATGATCATGTGCTAGAATGGACTTAATCAAACACCACTGACTGGTTAACAGTCTACACATACCCACAGAAAGTAAGTTGTGTAATGAAGATTCCTCACACAATGTGACCACAGCTCTCAAAGAAGAATGTTATTGATAAGACTCACACAAAGCTTACATCATTGCTTGGCTCTTACTCTTTATTTTGCCTTAGGTATTCCATTCATCTTGTGATTAAAAGTGGGAGAAGAAAAACAGAGCAGGGAAGAGAAATGAACAGAAACTTCAAGAATCAGAGAGAATTGTGTTTTTTCCAGTGTTTTTTCCTGTATCTTGAAATCAAAAGTTTTTCCTGTGTCTTGAAATTAAAATTGTGTTGATTTTCAAAAAAAAAAAAAAAAAAAAAAAAAAAAAAAAAAAAAAAAAAAAAAAAAAAAAAAAAAAACCAAAACCAAAAAGCTCCTGGCTGTCATTACTGAACAAAGCACAGTCAAGTGCCAGCTTCAGGAGCTTGGTTCTGGCTTTGCAAGTGCAATACTGTGCAAAG